AACACTATATTTCTTGATTCATCTACATGCATGCCCCAAAATGTGTCAAACTCAACACTAACATAACAAATTCATGCATTCAAGCTCATATCTTCTCAAATTGTACATGCATGAGATGAATTAGCCACATTCTCAACTTAGATAGCACAAATGATGATTATAACATGAGCTTCAATTAAAATTGTACATGGATTATACATTTTCATGCTCAAACATGCAAATTCAAGGTACTTTCTTACATGCATGCACATAATGGCCTTCAATTCAACAAAACCAATTCAATTTTCTTATAATCAGCTAACTCATGTTCTTGGCCATTAATAAATCTTGAATCTATAATTTACAAACTAAAATCCATGAGTTTACTTACCCAAGAGTTCAATCTCCCAAACTATAACAAAATCTTGGGCTTAATCTTAAAGTTCCCCAAATCTTGAGGCAAAATCACCCAAATTCTTTCGCTCTCTCTCTAACAGCTGGCCCTCTCTTTTCTTTTCTTAGAGTTTGATCAGCCTAAATCATCTAAGGGAGAGAAATGAGGTGCAATGCTAAAACACAACAAATCCCACTAAGTCAATATAATAAGAATAAAATAATTGGGCACCAATTTATCACTTAACTCAGCTTAATCTGGTCCGAATCAATTTTTCAATTAAATTTCACCGTAGGCTCTAAAAATTATGCCAATCACAATGGCGAAATCAATTCTGGGTTCTGTGGTTGATAAGGCCCTCAATTTAATTTCCAAAAAAGATTATTCAAACAGATATTCCTACGGTGAACAGATAGAACTTCAAAATCACATATATTCACATAATTGGCACACAAAATTATATCAAACACATAATCATATTAAAATTAAGGACTGATTAGCATATTACGGAACAGGGGTATCACATTGGGCCTCCTCACCACTAAAATCTCGAGGGATTTCAGTGGTGAGGATGGTGTCTTAAGGTCCTAAGAAGGAGAGGGCCATCCCCTCTCCTTGTTGCCTTCAATATTGGCCATTTTAGCCTCATGTGTGAGCGCCATTTTTATCTTAAGTGTTATTTGTGCTTATTTTGTCATGATAAAGCACTGTTTTAACTTGGTTTAGACACACCATGCTTGCTATGCATACTTGTCATGTAATGCCATGAATTGCTTTAACATGTGCCTAGCATTTAGACCACTATGCTTACTTGTTTTGGCTTAGCTTTGTAAAGTTTTTATGCTTGTTTTAGTATGCTAAGGGACTGTTTTTGGTCATATGAGTCATCCATGCTTTGCTTTGTATAGCTACCGTACAAACTCTCTTGTATGCCTTGAGCATTGACCCCTCTAGCATGCCATCCTTGCATCATTTCAGTGGTTTGGAACCACTTGTCATGTTATTTCAGTCCTTGTGGCATGCCTATATGCTTGCATTTGATACCCCTTTAATGTGTTAAAAGGTTGTTGTCTTATGCTCTTTGTTTGGGCCCTTGTGCATGCTTCCATACTTAAGACATTTAGATGCCATTTAGGTTGGTTTTGAGGCTCATTTTAGCATGTCACATCTCTTTTTTCAGTCACTTAATTCATGCCATGTGTGGTTGCACTAAGTGTAGTTCAATGCTTCTTTGGTGAGCCTTAGGCCTTAGATCATTTGTTGTATGCTATGCTTGTCTTGTTTGCTTGTTTTGGCACCATCATTAACATGATTTTCAGAGCTTACATTGCATGCCATATGCCCATGTTGTTCCTCTTTTAAGTGTGCTTAAAAGTTGTCTCTATGAGCCTATGTGTTGGACCTTGCATGCATGCCTATTTGTATGTGTTTTGGCTTCCATTCTTGAGCATGTTGGCCACCGATTTGGGCCTATTTGACAGCTACCCACTTTGGTTTAAGACCATTGCCACATGTCGTTGCATGCTCATCCATCTTGCATGCTTGTTAGTTTGCATAACTTGCATGCTTGCATGTTTACATTGCTTGTTCACATGCTCATATTGCATGCTTAGCTTCCATGCCTAGGTTGCATAACATTAAGCATGCATCTCTTGCCTCTTGAATTGATTATGATGGAGGTTGGGGCCCATTGTTTGTCTTGTGCATTTCATTCCATATTGAAATTGCACACTTTGACTCTTTGGGCCATCACGCATTGAAATGCGCGATTGGTGGTCCGAGAATCGAATACCATGCCCCTTTGAGTCATGAACATGATAAGGAGGGTGGTGGTGCAAACATTGCTTTGAAAAGGCATTGACATGCCTTGTCTGCCCTCTGCTATTGTCAAATAGGTTTCTGCAAGAAGTTTTGGCCGGCCGGCTGTATATACTGCCGACCGACCAAATATATTTGGCCGAGAGCTCAATGGATGGTCGATAACCACTTGGTCGGTGATGCTCCCCAATATCCATAGAGTGCTCCTTGGGAATTGTGCAATTTTCAGAAGAGCAGAGCAGGGTAAACAGAGGCAGTTTGTGCATGGCGATGGATTTCCGAGCAAACCCGAGCACGCGTGCATTGGACCCTCTTCCTGAGGCCTTTACTGCTTTCTTAGCTTAGTTAATTTGCTTAACTAGTTAAGTGGTCTGTAATATTTAATTAGCTTGTAGGTTAATTGATTTGTATTATTCTTTTGGTCCCTCCGAGCGAGGGCAAATTTGTAATAAGTGTGGGTGCGTGCGTGCATGTCATCCAACCCCCACTTCTTTCTCCCTTTTACTTACCTGCTTTCAATGGTTAGTATTAGGGCATATTTAAATTAGCATACCTTATGCTATGCATGCGTGCATCCATACATTTGTCTTGTATGCACGGGCTCGGTGCATCATACTAACTGCATTGTATTTCAATTCTAAGTTGAATACGTGTTAGTTGTAGCATCATCATATGTCATCTTAGAATAGCCGAGCCTATTGTAGTTGCATCTTAGAATAGCCGAGCCTATTTATGCTTTAGCATCTCGCATGTGTGTGAATGTTAACATAATAGCATGCTTACCATGAGTTTGAATTACCTAAATTGGATGCCTGTGGGTGGAGGTTGAATTACCTAAATTGGAATAATGCACTAAAACTGTAAGTTTTAAGCCCACTAGATAGTGGCAAAACCATCTTTTCTAAAGCCCACTTGAGGGTGGCCAAACAAACATGAAATGTTTCGTTCCAATTCAGGTGACCCAGTCTATACTTGTTTGCTGTGCGCATAGCAGAGTAAATCTAGGCTAATAACCGGAATAGGAACACGTAATGTTTTCAAAACAAGATATCATGATTAGTAGAGGCCAATCATTGGATCTGGCGAGAGGGGGTGCTCATAGCTGACCTTCTCCAATCATACCCAAGTTGTCGAGCCGAGGCAACTTTGGTGATGACGGACACGTGGCCTTAGGCAAATGAGTCAGGGTTTCCTAAATTCCCCCAAAATAAAATATTTAGGTGGCGACTCTATATCTGGAAAAACAGTCCATGTTTGGCACTTCTTTTCTAAAAATCTGTTTTCTCAAAACGATTTGCCGGATTTGGACTCTTTGGTTCAGATTAAGAACCGTGAAAAATTTGAGAGTCCCGAACTATAGTGAGCCCAATATGAACAGAACGGGACTCACGCTCTCGAGGCGTTCGGGCGCGTCTACAATAAGCAACAACAAAACAACTCGTTAAACAAATTGTAACAACTCGATAGACAAATTACAACAACTCGATAAACAAATTGAAACAAACTTGAGATTGACTCAACAAAACTAGTAAAACAAAATAGCAGAATGCATCCGGAGTAGAACAAAACACAGGTTTTCAACATTCTCAACACACAGGGAGACCAAAGCAATTCTGCTAGAAACAAACAGTGGCTCTTGGCCACTTAGTGGTAATTGTCGGCCACTAAAGTGGCCGGTCGGCTACCTTAACTGGTCGGTCGGCCAGTGATGCAGGGAGTATCCAGATTGCTACCATCTGTCTTCCACTCAGTGCCTTATCTGCTACAAAAGTTAGGACTTCCTAGTTCCTTCATTCCAGCTCTGTTTTTGCCACAAATGGAGCCATTCTTCACCGAAAAACTCTCATCTTGGATTGCAACTTTAGATGGCTTGGAAAAGCTGAATTTCCTATGTTTCGGGATAAATGAACTATTCTAGCTAAGTCGTACTCCGCTGTGTTTTCCGTTCCTTCATGCCGCGACTAGGTGTTGGAACCCGGTTACACATGTGTTTAGCTTTGGGGGACAACAGATGTGACCTACAATCGAAGAGTTCTAGGCTTTGATGGAATCCATGCGTGACGAGAAAGTCTTGCCCCAGTTGCGTTTTGGCCACATCCAAACTTCAGGACGGATGTCACTATAACAAAAAAGGTCTATGGTGACGACAACGCATGACGAAAAAATATTTTGTCTCCAAATATACATGTTTTAGTGATGAAAATAAGATTTCGTCTCCAATTTTACTATTTTTAGAGACAAAAATAAAATTTCGTCACCAAATGCTTAAAATAAATAAAATAATAGGGGACAAAATTTTTTTCATCTCTAAATTTTATTTTTCGTCGCAAAAGAAATTCCCGCTCTTGGTAATTTTGGCGGAAAATATGGGTGCCATATTAGAAACAAAAAGTTTTGTCACCATTGTAAAACATTTTAGAGAGAAATATAATATCGTCACCTATAATTTAAGAGACAAAACGACGCCATTTTGTCTTCCCAATTCTTCTCTCTCGCGCTTTTTCTCTCACTCTCCCTCTCTCCGCTTCAGGTCGTAACCCTCCAACTCGCTGCTCGCAAGGTAAGATTTCATTCCTGATTCAGTGTTTTGGCGAAACTATGCTTTGATTAGCTCACCGAGTTGGCTCCTTAGTGGCTTCCAGTTGCAACCCTCCCATTGTGCTTCGATTGGCTTCACCACCACCACCACAGCCACTGTCATCGTCATCGTCATCAACTTCTTCGAACCCGCTCCGGTACCTCTCTTCCTCTCTGTCTTTCTCTCAATTGTTCAAGTGCATAATGGTTTGATTGTTTATCTGGGTTTAAAATGGATAATGGTTTGATTGTCTATAATGATTTGATTGTTTATCAAGGTTTGAATTTGGGGTTTTATTCCCTATTTTCTTTGATTTCTCTTTCTTTGAATTTGGGATTTTACCCATGTAGACACTACCTTATCAAGGTTTGAATTTGGGGTTTTATTCCCTCTTTTCTTTGATTTCTCTTTCTTTGAATTTGGGGTTTTATCCATGTAGACACTATCCATGTATTTTCACTGCCAATGCACCACTACATCTTTGTTAATGAGACTCCACAATTAAACAAAATTCAATTGAAATTTGAAATACTGCTGAGATTTTGATATTTTTTGTTTTCAAATGGCAGTTATGATGGTAAATTGGCAAAAGGAAAAAGGTAAATTTATTGTTCTTGAAGAAAATGGTAAATTGATTGTTTTGCAACTCCTGAAGCTATCATTCAAGAGTGTTTTGTGCTTCTAGTTTCTGTGAGAAAATTTTTATAATGATTTGGAAGTATAGAGGAACATTTAATTTCTATAGCTCATTAGAAACTTTGTCAAAGCTTTAGATTGGAAATGTGGTATATAATGGTTTGATTGTTTATCTGGGTTTAAAATGGATAATGGTTTGATTGTCTATAATGATTTGATTGTTTATCAAGGTTTGAATTTCGGGTTTTATTCCCTATTTTCTTTGATTTCTCTTTCTTTGAATTTGGGATTTTACCCATGTAGACACTACCTTATCAAGGTTTGAATTTGGGGTTTTATTCCCTCTTTTCTTTGATTTCTCTTTCTTTGAATTTGGGGTTTTACCCATGTAGACACTACCTTATCAAGGTTTGAATTTGGGGTTTTATTCCCTCTTTTCTTTGATTTCTCTTTCTTTGAATTTGGGGTTTTATCCATGTAGACACTATCCATGTATTTTCACTGCCAATGCACCACTACATCTTTGTTAATGAGACTCCACAATTAAACAAAATTCAATTGAAATTTGAAATACTGCTGAGATTTTGATATTTTTTGTTTTCAAATGGCAGTTATGATGGTAAATTGGCAAAAGGAAAAAGGTAAATTTATTGTTCTTGAAGAAAATGGTAAATTGATTGTTTTGCAAATCCTTAAGCTATCATTCAAGAGTGTTTTGTGCTTCTAGTTTCTGTGAGAAAATTTTTATAATGATTTGGAAGTATAGAGGGACATTTAATTTCTATAGCTCATTAGAAACTTTGTCAACGCTTTAGATTGGAAATGTGGTATTTATGTGATGTGTGTAGTTTCAGAACTTGAAAAGAAACTTAAATGCTTCTTGTTTGACCTATGAAGGATAAATATGGAGAGTACATGCAATAGTGAAGGCAGTTCTCATGGAGAAAATACAAACTCAAGTCAACAAAAAGGTAGAACGCTAATTTTTCTTGTTGATCTAATTTATCTTCCCTAATGGTTCGTGTAAATTAAAATTTTTAGAAGATAACTTGGAAGTACATGGCCAATGGAATCAGAATGGTGAGGCTGCTCCATTAACTGCTGAAAAGATGAGATCTGCTGCCAAAGCTAGTCTTGCTGCTGCTGCGACAAAGGCAAAACTGTTTGCAGATCATGAAGAACGTGAAATTCAAAGGCTATATGCTAATATTATAAATCATCAGGTATATTTGTTGGGATGCTCTTATTTTGTGAAAACTTTAATGATTCATTACCTTATGTTCTTCCTAATTCTAGTGTTTTCAATGAATAGTCAATTCTTTTGATTAAATTGCATGGGCATTGCCTTAGGCTTCAATGTAAATTAGTTTTTCATATGTTTTACAATTATATCATTGATGTATATCAAATTATTGTATTTGGTTGCAATTTTTTTCTTTTTCTTGGTTTTCCTTGGTTGTCCAGGTATATTAGTGTTAAGTTCCTAATTTTCCCAAAAGCCTAAGCTATTAGTAAATGGCAGTTTTAGTTCCACGATGGTTCTTGAAGAAAATTCTTATCAATTGATTGAAGCATTTTAATTTAATTTTTTTTAAAAATCTTTTAGCTATTAAAATATTAGTATGATTACAAACAGTGTTATGAGAGAAGAAAATAAAGGTAAATGGTGGTTGGTGGTGAGGTTGGGTTGCTAGAGAAAAACACTATGATCTCTCTACATGATGGCGAGACATAAATTATTTCTATACATGAGTAAATTGGTATAGAAACTACCTTTGGGTCTTTATTTCAAATTTATTTGAATTAGTACATTTGATTTTTTATCATAACAAGCATGATGTCCAAATTTGTAGGCCGCATGACCTCCAGGCCAAGAAAACCAAAAGGAAACATTTTATTGAAGGAATTTCTTGTAGGATCAATTGTCATTTATGGGGTAAGGAGTGGAAAAAACAATTTCACTGTAACGCTTTCTCTAGGCCAAGAGCATAAGGTTGACGGTTTGGCATCACACAAAGCTTCACAGATTCTGTGGGTCACCGTAACGCTTTCTGAACCAATTCCCAATGGTTTCTATTCTATAGGTGTTGTGAGTAGTATATATTTTTGTTGAAATGTGCAATTAGTAGAACGCAGTTTTTTTCTTTTTTGTGCTAGGATCTTTGGTGCAAGTGAGCATGTTTGGAGATTAGAAGTGATTAGCAAACAAATAATATATATTTGAATTTTGAATGCAGGTATAGTGTGCTAAAGTTTCTTGCCTTGTCTGTGGTTGATTCTATGAAACTTGCACATCGCTAGTAATCATGGATCAGCATGTCATAGTGTATATGTATGTGGGTAGTCTACAGAAGTAGATCAGCATGTCATAGTGTATATGTATGTGGGCAATCTAACAGTCTGTAACTGTAAGTGGTTTTCTTTATGATGCTGCCTTTATCTCCTCTCATGTGCACCTAATACCTAAACTTGCACATAATTTTATGCAATATGATGCTTGGGGATTCCAAAAATCTATAACATTTATTGTACTAAATAGTAGAAAGGCACAAGGAAATATGGTAGTGTATTACTTGACTTTTAAAAACTATTTAGGACCCTTTGTGAACCCAAAAAATTGAAATGGCTGGTAAATATCTCATTGTAATTAGATTGACCCTTAGTTTTGCATTTGGCATCCAGTGGTCTGTTTCTTTGATTTATTCATGGTGTAACAAATGTCTCAAGAATCCAAATATATATATATATATATGGAAAATGAAAAAAAAAATTGTTACGCATGTGCACTAAATAAATGTTTAGCTAAAGCATGCACTCCGGTTTTTAGAAGTTGTAAAGTTCTTTAAATGCTTGAAAATGAAAATTGAGCAATGGCTGTTGGCTCAGTACTGCCAGGTAAGACACTGATCAAATGCTTAGCAGTAACCTGATTATTGGTTTAATTTTGGACACAACTAATACAAAAACTCCTTGCCCTTGGCCACGTAGCTAGTGGGAAAGGAGAAATTTATGCTCAGTTTTTTTTGTGGTCTTAAGATACTAAGATGCCTAATTCTGAAAAGCCCTAGACAGATCAACCTTAAAAAAAAAATGTTCTCTTCTTATATCGATACAAACTTCTTTATATTCTATGCCTTCTATTGTTTTTTACATTTTGACTCTTCGACTGAGGCACTACATACATTGTGCTCAATATTTTGACTGTTTTGTTTTAGCCATTTATTATGCAGTTTTTCCTTGTATGTCATTACTTTGGCTAAAAATGATTAATAAGTAAACTATTTCTAAACATAGTTCTTTCCTATTGGAAGCAACAACTTTAAAATGATATATGAGCAATATTATGAAGATGATGCTGTTATTGTGTAGTTTATGCTTATGGAAAAAATGTAAAAGTATACAAAGATAATAGAAAAAGTAGCCAGCATCTAACCTTTTATTTATTTATTTTAATCCTTTGGAGCCTTTTAGATTAAGAAACAAAGCAGTTCATTTGAGCTTTGATCACAAAAGGTAGATTATAGGCTCTGAAACATCATTGTTGGGAAATTGGCATTAGCAGTTAAATAGACCTTCATAAGATAATTGGAAGAATGTGATTGATTTTTTTTAAAAGATTTATAGTTGTTTCATGTGTTATATACTACTGAGAAAGTGTTAAGATCTCGTTGCTTGGGAATTTTGTATTCTATGTTTTAATCTGATAGTTCATTTCCAGAAATTTCTGAAACCTGAAGTTTAAATTAATGGTTTTTTGTCTTTGTTTGACAGTCTAGTATACCAATAAATACCATCATTGTCTGATAAAACTCAATATAGTGCAGGAAAGAAGACTCAAGGAACTGTTTGATTCTATTCCTTCTCTAGATGAACTTCATGCTTTGTATTCAAAAGGTCTTAGAGCAGATGTTATTGTAGTGGATGATAAAGATAAGAAGCTTTCCATGCTGAAGAAGCTGACTGTGACTCTGGTGAAAGGATTATATTCAAATCCAATAGCAGTTATAAAAAAGATAGCTGGATTGGTATGCTTTTTTGGCTCTGAAAGTTTTCTTATTATTCTTTTTTTTTTCTTTTATGTTCCATTGCAAGTCCTGAATGAATGTAGTGTATTTTGATGATCATATTTTCCCATGATAACATGTATTTATTTACTAAATAGTAAATATTTTCTAGTTGTATTGGATGTGGCATTAATAATAAATATCGGGCAATGCCTTATAGTTGGCATTACTAGTGGTGCACTGAATGTTCCTTGGTGTGTGGGAGGCAATATTTCTGTGGTGGGTTTCCTTTTAAGTTTGGGTTATATCATATCTTCCAATGCAATGAATACTTGCTAGTGGACCTTCCTGTGAGGCAGTCTTTATACCCAATCTAATAACCAAGAGTTGCATTCAATTAGGAGGTTTGAAGAGATTTTATTTTCCCATCATAAGTGGATTTTTTCCTCTAGCAGGAATCACTCATATAGTGGATACGTTTGATTTCTTATTGTAGGATTTTTTTTATATTGAGTTAAAGTTATTTGCTGGTTTTTTTTTTTTTTGGTATGATGCTTTATGCTTCAGGTTCAATCCTCCAAATATTATTACAATAAGTAGGTTTAGAATTCATTGATTTAAAAGTTCATATATAAGGTGTATACGTTGAATTTACCCTCCTCTACTTTTATATTGTGTTTTCATGTTTCAGTATAATTTGAAAATCAAACCAAACATGAAATTTGAGAATCAAATTTGAACACCAGAGATAAGTAGTGTTTTGTGCTTTCTAACACTTAAGCTTGAAAATATGCCATCGGACTCCAAAATCGTGAAACAGTCATGAGAAGGCCAGGGAACACCTTGGGAGGGACCAATGTAAGTTGTGTAAACTTACGGAACTAACACGGAACTCTTTGTTTGAAAACTATTTAGAAAAATGCACTTTTCCAACACTTAGGCTTGAAAATAGGTTATCGAGGGCCAAAATTGTGTAACAGCCACGAGTCGGCCCGGGAAACACCTCAAACACCTCAGGAGGGACCAATGTGAGTTGTGAAAACTTACGGAATTAACACAGGACTCCCGGTTAGAAAACTAAGTCCAAAAATGCACTTTTTCACACTTAAGCTTCAAAAATAGGCCATCGGAGGCCAAAATCGTGCAACAACCATGAGACGGCCCAGGAAACACCTCAAACGCCTCCAACACCTTGGGATGGACCACAGTAAGTTATGGAAACTTACGGAACTAGAACAGGACTCCCGGTTTGAAAACTAGGTCCAAAAGTGCACTTTTTCACACTTAAGCTTGAAAAATAGGCCATCGGAGACCAAAATCGTGTAACAGCCACGAGACGGCCCAGGTAACGGGTCAAACACCTCGGGAGGGACCAAATTAAGTTGTGAAAACTTACGGAACTAGCACGGGACTCCCAGTTCAAAAACTAAGTCCAAAAATATACTTTTTCACACTTAAGCTTGAAAATATGCCTTCGGGGGCCAAAATCGTGCAACAGCCATGAGACAGCCTGGGAAACACCTCAAACACCTGGGGAGGGACCAATGTGAGTTTTGAAACTTACGGAACTAGCACGGGACTCTCGGTTTGAAAACTAAATCCAAAAATGTACTTTTTCACACTTAAGTTTCAAAATAGGCCATCGGAGGCCAAAATCGTGCAACAGCCACGAGACGGCGCGGGAAACACCTCAAACACCTCGGGAGGGACCAATGTGAATTGTGGAAACTTACGGAACTACCACGGGACTCTCGGTTTGAAAACTAAGTCAAAAAATGAACTTTTTCAAACTTAAGCTTCAAAATAGGCCATCGGAGGCCAAAATCGTGCAACAGCTACGAGACAGCTCGGGAAATACCTCAAACACCTCAGGAGGGACCAATGTGAGTTATGGAAACTTACGAAACTAGCACAGCACTCCCGGATTGAAAACTAACTCCAAAAATGCACTTTTTCACATTTAAGCTTGAAAATAGGCCATCGGAGGCCAAAATCGTGCAACAGCCACAACACGGCCCAGGTGTAGACACCCCATTTTTGACCGTCCTCAAGACTTGGATGTCATCATTTGAACACTCGATGATCATCCCTGTTCGTGTTCGTCTTGAGTTCTCGGAGGTTTCGGCTACGCGCCTTGCCTCAAGACCTCTCGATTTGTTTGTTTTGTGGTTTTACATGAAACACTTATTGTTTTGCTTCTGAGGGTGGGAAATAGCTTGTAGGCCATCCCCATACCTCACCGGTATGGCTTGAGGCCACCGGCCTTGTTTCCTTGCCACCGACCACTGGTGATGGCCGGTCGGCACTGTTGATGGTCGGTCGGCACATTTTATGGTCGGTCGGCCAACTTTGTTGGCCGATTAGCCACTTTTTCTGGCCGAGACCTTTTCTTGAGGGGGGTTTGAACCTTTTGAACCTCTTGTTTTAGCTTCTTGAGGAAGCTTGAACCTTCTGAACTCTTGGTTTTAGCTTCTTGAGGAACCTTGACCTTTTGAACCCTTTTTTTAGCTTCTTGAAGAAGCTTGAACCTTTTGACCCTTGTTAGCTTCTCCAAGAAGCTTGATCCTTTTTTAGCTTCTCCTAGAAGCTTGAACCTTTTGACCCTTTAAGCTTCTCCAAGAAGCTTGACCCTTTTTTAGCTTCTCCAAGAAGCTTGATCCTTTTTTAGCTTCTTGAAGAAGCTTGAACCTCTTGACCCTTTTAGCTTCTCCAAGAAGCTTGACCCTTTTTTAGCTTCTCCAAGAAGCTTGATCCTTTTTTAGCTTCTCCTAGAAGCTTGAACCTTTTGACCCTTTAAGCTTCTCCAAGAAGCTTGACCCTTTTTTAGCTTCTCCAAGAAGCTTGATCCTTTTTTAGCTTCTCCAAGAAGCTTGAACCTTTTGACCCTTTTAGCTTCTCCAAGAAGCTTGACCCTTTTTTAGCTTCTCCAAGAAGCTTGATCCTTTTTTAGCTTCTGATATATATATCACTCCCTCTTTATATCTCCCTCTCTCTCTACATTTGTGTGGGTTAGAGGGTGCAAAAGGGTCTAATTCTTGGCCATTTGAACTACACCTCCTAGCACAACACCTCCATCATCAACCTAAGGAGCTTGGAAGCCATTTTCAGAGGCTAAGGGACTATTTTTTTGGACCAAGAGGCTGCTGTCCCCTTTTGGCTACAAAGGTAACTCCTTTTCCCTCTTTATTCCCTGTTTTTGCACACACTTATAGCCTATCTTTCTTGCTGTTTTGAGCTTTGTGTATAACATAAAAAAGTTCTATTTTTTTTTTTGTTTTTAAGATACTTCATTAAGGTCACTTTTGTGTTTGGGGTCGTTTACCCCCTCTTAGGCCTTGTTTGGCCTCATTTTTGTGCGTTTTTGGTGAGCTTCGGGACCACCTTGTTTGGGCCTCCTCGCCACTGAAATCTTGTGGGATTTTAGTGGTGAGGATGGTGGTTTGAGGTCCTAAGAAGGAGAGGGCCATCCCCTCTCCTTATTGTCTTTATTACTTGCATTTTTGGCCTTACAAAGGAGCTCCTATTTGCAAGCTTCCAAGCTTTATTTCCAGTATTTTTCAGTGGGTTTTAGGACCCCTATAAGTCATTTCCAGATCTGGTTTTGCCATGTTAAGTGTCCTTGTTGCATGTGTAGAGTAACCCTCTTATTGGCCTTTCAAAGGAACACATCTTTCTTGCATGCATGGACCTTGTTTCCATGGGTTTTGGGGCTTATTTGACATACCATGTTACTGTTTTAGCTGGTTTGATGAGCTCTCACATGCTTCATATAGGTGTAGTGTAAACCATGCTTACTAGCCTATGTTGCATGTTGTTTGGCCAAGCATGCTAGCTTATTTTGGCTACATTTCATACATGTTTTAGCATTATTTTGGGCTGCATAGGGACTGTTTGGGGCTGGTTTCATTATTCGAGCATCGCTTTGCATGTTTATAGTGTATTGCATTCACTAGCTTTATTGCTTGAGTCCTTAACAATGCATTACATGATGTTTTGCAGGCTTTTGAGTCATGTTGGAGTCATTTGGCATGCCATTTCAGATCTGGACATGCACCATTGTATGCCATATTCCCTCCTTGCCCATGCTTTGGTAGAGTTGCATTTTTGTGCCTTAAGCTTGGTTAATGCATTGTGCATGCATTCCATGTATTTTGTTGTCTCACTTGCATCATTATGGCCACTGATTTTGGCATGCTTGCGAGCTATCCATGTTAGTTTAAGTCCATCATCGCATGTCGTTGCATGCCATATTTGTTTACATGTTTAGGTTGTGTGCCTATTGCATATTAAATGCATTGCATAATCATGTTGCATTAGCCTTGCTTGCATGCTTAGGTTGCATTGCATTGTGCATGCATCCCTTGCCTCTTGATTAAGCATGATAGAGGTTGGGGCCTTTGATGTGTTTTGTGTGTGCATTTTATTTGATATTGAAGTTGCACACTTGGCTTTTGGGCCATCACGCATTGAAATGCGTGATTGGTGGTCCGAGAATCGAGCACCATACCCCTTCGAGTCACAAACATGATAAGGGATGTGGTGGTGCACACGTTTGCTTGAAATGCATTGCCATGCCTTGTTTTGCCCTCTGCTGCTGTCAAAACAGGTTCTGCAGGAAGAATTGCCCGGTCGACTACATACAGTGCTGACCGACCACGTATTGCTGGTCGAGAGTCACACCAGTGGCCGATGACCACATCCCCTTAGCCGGTGATCATTTACCTTGGCCGGTGGCACTCCACAGTGTGCAGAGAGCATACCTTGGGACTTGTGTAGTCTTCAGAGGTGCCAAACAGTGAAAACAGAGGCAACATGTGTCATGGCAATGGATTTCCGAGCGAAGCCAATCCGAGCATGCATTCATCCCTCTTCCCGAGGCTGTTTTACTGCTTTAGTAGCTTAGTTAATTTGTTTAATTAATTAAGGGTTTGTAATATTTAATTAGCTAGAGTAGTTAATTACTTATTCGGTTTGTATTATTCTTTTGGTCCCTCCGAGCAAGGGCGAATTTGTAATAAGTGTGGGTGCGTGTGTGCATGTCTTCCAACCCCCACTTCTTTCTCCCTTTTACTTACCTGCTTTTGATGGTTAGTATTAGGTCATATTTAAATTAGCATACCTT